GCCTCTTCTTGGGTTCGGATGATCTTCAGACTCCGGCCAATGCCACCGAAGGCTTCGTTGAGGCTCCTGAGCTTTCCACGCGCAAAACTCTAACATCACACTGAGGGTCCCTTGCTACAGTACCGGGTTGCCGGGCCTCCCCCGATATATAATATTCATTTGTTGAATTGAAACAGCGGCCAAAGAACACCTTCAAAAGCCCGCAAGACGTTGAAAATCAACGACCTTTGCTTGCCCTCTCAGGCGGTACCAAATGACCTCTGTAAAAGCCCTCAAAACTATGCTGAAAGGGTACTGAGGGACTGTCTGGGCGAAGGAATCACTGCACATTCGCCCAAATATGTATAGTGAATACACCAGGCTTGCAGTCATGGTCCCTTTGTTATCAACCAGTACTCTCATGACGCTGCATCAGCATCGCTGGGTTGGTCAAGGTTTGTACTGCTCTTGCCCACCGATTCTGCACGTGGTTTCGAGCTGTTTCAAATGGTCCACTCTTTTGAAGTCTTAGCTGATTCCCAGCAGCTTGCTATTCCGTCAGTGGGTGGTCTGGAACCGAAAAAGGTACGAAATGACTCTTTTGAACCCAACAACCAAAGGATTCCGCGAGGGTCCCACACCCAAGAAGGAACAAACTGACCCTTTTCAACCCCTGCAAAGGATACTGCGGATACCAAAATGCTCTCTTTGAGGTGTCACTGCTTTGGCTCCGAGTCCCAACATTGGGGAAACCCGCGAGCTTTTTTCTGTCCCGAGCAGGGCATGGGAAGATCAACATGTTTTTTCGACCTCCAATCAACGTGCTTTTGCTTGACACATCATTTTCCACGGTTTTTGAAACTAGGGACCCCCGGGTCGACATGATTTTGGTGGCGATTCATGTCCACCAGCCACATTTGAGGTGGCTGCCTGGATAATTTTATAGCCATATAGTTGCTGTCCTGGGCTTTATGGAGTGCATAGCAGCTTCTTGAGATCGTGGTTTCCGTCTGGTGAGGAGTCGGCCCCAAGCATTTCTTGGGTTGTCTTGGCTTTGACGAACAGCGTAGCTGGCAAAGCAAGCGCACTGTGTGACCGCCAGAAGGCCTGAGGTTATGTCATCGAGAAGGGATTGAATGAAGCACAAGATACCAAATTATGTGTGTTTTTTGGATTCCCGTACCCTGAATCAACAAGAAATCCCGTATTTTCACGTAAACCCCTCCTCATAATGCTGCTCTTCCTGCGATCATCGTCATCGTCCTGTTCCTCGTCGACCGCTTCAAAGAGCGAGCGGGTGCGATAGACATAGACATCTGCACGGACTTTCACCTGGCAAAGGCTGAGAGGCCGAGAGGCCGCCTTTGGCGTGGCAAATGTTCGAAGAGCAAAACCTCTTTCTGAAGAAGGGTGAGAAACGCACTTCCCCAAAAAAGCGTGCTCAAAACGGGCTACACAAGCGTCTCACAGTCGAAAAGTCTGAACTTCGTCCGCATTGTCCTGAGCGATGCTGGTAAGGTCCGTACTTTGTTCAGTTCAGCATTGAACTTCCGGTACAGGAGGGTTGTGCGGGAGTTGGCAGCTGACGCGTCAGGCAACCGACCGGCCAGCCTCGGGCAGGCGTCTTTTGTGCACTTGCTCGAATCGCCAGTCAGGCAGTCAGGCAGTTGGCTCGCAGAAAGTGTACCACTTGCAAGCAAGGCTGCCTATTGATGGCATATTGTACCCTGTTTCCTTAGTCCTTGAAGCCGACATCCACAAGTTGGACAACTTGCATGCGCTTTGAATGTTTATGCCCGTCATCACATTATTCAACACCCTGAAAGCTTGGGTTAGGCTGCTGTGGACAGCTCGGGCGGTACTGTGGGACAACATCCGCAAAACACTGGTTAAAATGAATGACTCACTACCAATCTTGGTTGAGACACACCACCAGAGGCCGGCCTTTGCCAAGCGCGGGCCACACCAGGTACATGTAATTTGAAAGCCAGTAAACCAGTGCGGATGGTTGCAATATCCAGTTCGCACCGTTCAAAAGCCCTGCTTTCTGATGGTTCCCGTGTAAATACCCACAAACGTGATATGCATGTTCAAGTATGGTTTCAAAGTGGCACAGGACGTCCTAGCGTCCAGTGTCATAAATCATGTCACTAGCCGAATCAAATGTTGGTTGACCCCGTTTGACCAAAACAATGTTACCTGGTTGATGTTGTTTGCTGCCAAGTAGCCAGCCGAAAGCTGCTCTGGCTCCTCGTGTGATACGGGACTCGCAGTACTTCTCTGTAAGCAAGTTGCTCGCGTGCCAGCAGCCGACACTGCCCATGCAGTGACGCAAGCAAAAGTTTCCCTCTCCTTGGTCGCGATTCGTTTAAGCTCACTGACTGCCAAACTCGACAAGGATGACACACTCGATGTGAATGGATACTCTCCCCCGAAAAGGGCGAGATGGACTTCGCAAGCATCCGCTGTAATTATCAAACGTGAGACTATCAGTCAGAGGAATCCAGCCTTTCCGCGAACCAAACAGAGCTTGCCACTGTTCGGGTACCCATTCGATGCTTGCAAACTCTTCGCTGGGCAAGCCCGCGCGGCTTGACAGTTCAAACTTAGTAGGTTGTACCTAAGAGAGAACAGAACAGAAGGAACGTTGAAACAAAAAAACAATGAGAAAGGCCGAGGGTCCGTTACATCTGATGATATTCTTTTCGATCACGTGGAGTTGGCCGGAACACTCGGTTCTGTATCTTGTGGAGTCGGGCTTGTAGATATAGACCTTCTTCCCCACCTCGATGGAATTGTCTGCCTCGTCCCAGGTCAGCAACTTCTTCACCTATCGAACCCAAACCCGGCTGTGAGTCTGTGAGTCGAATTGGCAAAGTGAACCTACCCAATCCCAAACAATCCATGTAGCAAATATACACCAACATTTCACAATTTGAGGGTGTGTAAATATATATATATATATACTAGTCCTTGCCCTTGCCTTTAGCAGGAACTCTTTGCCACAAATTTACCCCCCCAATTTACCCCAAATTTTCCGCCAATTTACCCCCAACTTTACCCCCCAATTTGCCCTCAATGTACCCCCAATTACCCCCAACTTTACCCCCATTTCCACAACCCTTATTTAAGGGTAATGTCTATACTGTTGGTGATAGTTTATATACTGAAGATGCTAAAATCCTGGAAACAGGCTGGCTTCCGATTGCTTTTGAAACTGAAACAATGCAAGAACAAACAGCCTCAACATCAAGCGAAATATTCACAACAATTGTTCGTAATGTATCTAAATTAAACAAATTGTTTATTTCCTTTTGAACTGCCACTCAACAAGGTTATGTAGGCGGTTGCGGTGGATTTCTGAAAGAATACAACTTATGCAGCATCCACTGACACAGGTAACAAATGATAAAAAGACACTATGACACAGAACGCAATTTTATCGGCTTCTTTGCTATTTGGTAATCAAGTTGCACCAAGCCAAGAAACTCAAGGTCCATCTGATGCATTGTGCAGATAAACCTATGTTGATTAGAGCGGAAGATTTCAGGTCACACGCATTTATCTTACGGATTTGATATGCAAAAGCTCGAATTTGCAAATTATACGGGAATTAACCTGAAAAATCATGCACTATGGTAGTCGCAATCAAAGCGCTAGAAAATTCAACAGTATATACTGGTGGTAAAACGGGTGAGCGACTTTATCTACTCGTGGTGCACGAGTGTATTCTTGAAATCCGCTCAAATTCTGTAGCCTTTGAAACACTAGTTTCTAATTAAAAATGTAAGATTTAGATAGCTTCATTATCAGAGAATTTAAACCAAAATGAAACCACTATACAACTAAGGTTTATAACAATACTGCATATGGCCTGACTATTTCATCAATACGAGCATCTCCCCTTCCGGGTTCTCCGTCTTCATGCCGAACCGGCACATAGGGCTCGTCACCGGCCATGTGTCCAGCCTCCTCAGCAGCTTCTGCACCTCCGGCACTTCTTCAGGTGCTCGTGCGCGTACAACCCACCTTGGTCCGCTTGCTGCTCACAGCAGCGCATCGCCTTTGTCACACGCTCCTTTCCAATCTCCTCCTCCTTCTGCACCACCTCCGGACCCCGCTTTGGGTTGCATGTTCCTCAAAGGATTGAAGGTTTTTCTCGGCGGGGAGCTCGTAACTAGCCAGGGCTCTTCTCGCAGCATCCGGCGCAGGAGCTAGTAATCCTGCCGTCCGGCTTCATCTCGTCCAAATCCACCGCGGCCCATCTCCAAGTCCGCCTCTTCGGGCTGAACACCTCAATGAGGTCCAGGGCACCGAGCTCCTTGACAATGCTCGCCGCCTCTTCACTCCTCATCTGTTCCCCACTCATTTTCTGCCTCCATTATCCGAGGCGCGGCTGGCGTCCTCCTCAACCTCGCGCAAGAGATCCTCGATGTCCCTTGAACCACTTTGTCCTCCTTTTTTTTGAGAGATTCTCCTCCTGGCGGTCCTCTGCTTGATCTCCTTTGCTCAGCTCGCTTCCTCGCTCGCTGCCTCTTTTTCTGGACCTTTCCTGCTCCTCTTCCTCATCTGTCTTCTTCTTGAAGATCCGATCGGCACTCTTTGTTGTGCGTGTTGGGATGGCTTGCTCTCTCCCCGTAGGCCTTTTTCCAGCTTCAGCCACTTCTCGCCCTCCGCCACTGCGTGATGTCCTGTTCCGACCAGCACGCTGCTCGTGGACCAGCACGGACCTGAACCGATTGTGCGTGCCCAGGTACCTGCCACCTCGCCTTGCGGGCACCTTGGCCGGATGGTCACGCAGAATCACCCGCACCTTCCTCCTCCTGAAATTGGTGTCCCAAATCGTGTCGTATAGGCGTGAAATGCCTAATGTCTGCAGATATACGATAAACACAAGGTTCTGTATTAAAATAACTACATGCAATTGAGCGAAAAGCCATTTATTAGCTTTATCATATGATGGCTGTTGAATTTCATACTGTCTAACATGTATTGATTCTAGGTGTTTGGTGGTGAATTTTCAGGCACAATAAACATATGTTCAATACCTTTAAATTATCATGTTGTACGTAATATTCTACGTATTATTGATCATGCCCAGATAATATATTACTTTAAGTGATGTACGTTCTATCGGTAGTAAAAACAAAATGACTATAGTATAATACCTTATCCAGACCAGATACAGTGTATTATGATACCATGCTAGATCTATTGTCATATGTTTAAAGAAGGAATACAATTTACCTAAACCATAGTTGAAATTGATGATCATACATGTTTTAGAAAATTAATAATCTTTGTGAACGATCACCCTAATACGAATAACAATGAAATGAAAAAGACTAGTTTGTTAACAAACATATTAAATATGTTGATGTATTAACAGCAATGACGCTTAATAAGACAAGCGAAATGAACACATAATTTAAATGTTTCATTGTATGAACTATCGTTTATGATTTGGGGATATCATAGATGGAACAGATGTTCATTATTTTAATCATAAGCATTGAAGATACTTAGTTTGAACCGCGCTTATATGTACGGCGCGAAGAGCCCCATTGTTGAGCCCGAGTATTCTAAACATTCAGACTCATTTTAACGCTTTATCTTGTTATTTATATGAATAGAAGTTATTCAGATTAGATTGATATACTGGATGAAGTAGAGACAGCAGAACAAGTAATAGTAACTGAGATAAACTAAAAGATATTGTTATGATTCATTAGAGTTAATAAAGTTAGAGATACTATATATCAAAAATAACATGTCAACGCTCATATGGATGGGAGAGAAGAAAAACAAAAACGAATCAGACAAATTATACTGCTTCTTCAACAGATGAAGATAGTGAAGAAGTTACTACTCAAACAAGATATTGAGTTTGCTTTTCCAATGTGTAACAAATGTTAGAAGTAAACAATGATGTATACTACAAAGGACAGGAAATTGTACATGTTGCTGTGTGCCAATAGGGACGAAAATGATTGAACAGAATAAGAAAATGAACTAAAGACAGCATCGTCTTTGAAACAAACGCCCACAATATTGCTATATGCGTTGGTCGCGGGGTTACTCCATCAGATGACGGACAGAACAAAACGCAGGAAACTATAATGGACATGATGAACAAACAATATTTAAATGGTGTGTTTCAAAAGTCTTATTTTGCAATAATATATATATATATATATGGAATGATTTGAAAAACCGATGAAGATAATTGATGAGATAATGGAACAGAACCACAATTCTATTCATTAATGGAAATATATACTAAGAAACCAACATATACTAATAACAACTATCAACCGAAAAAAGTAGCTAGAGAATGTCAGGAATATAAGAACAAGAGAGGTATATACCTTAAGAAACTAAACCATAGAAAAAATATAACCGAAGCAATCCACAATGGATTACTACCAAGTTGATATTGTTGAAGGATAGGGGTTTATTCATGAAGGGTTTAAAGGGTAGATACCCTTTTAACTGATGACCGACCCAGTAGAATCTAAATGCACAATATGTAAGATCTCAAAAAGTCTAGAAGAGTTTGGATTCTAAACAGGACAGCAGATTGTATCAAAACTGCAGAAATTGTAGAGAGACAAGAAAGGTGCGAACTCAAAACAGAAAGCAAGCCCAGAAAAACACGAGAAGGAAGTTATTGATGTAAAACGAGTACAGCACAACATTTCAACTTACACTGTAGACAGTCCGTTATTTACTTATTTTTAAATGATCTGTCATTATACAAAGAACCATACATTGTATATTGAAATTGCAAAAGAACAATCGGCAAAACAAGAAGCAGAAGAAAAACACAATCTCGCACTAGAAACTCAAAAATTAAAGCCATTGATACCTCACTTTGTCAATACTTACAACATGTAAGACTTTATATGTTGAAATTGGAGATGAATGTTCTCTCTGAAAAGCATTTAAACAAAAAATAATTTGATTTGCTAGATTATGAGTGACACAGAAAGTGAAACCAGTGATACAAAAACATAATGCGATGATTCTAAAATGATAATCATACTACTCAATAAATACACGAGTTATAAGTGTTGAGATTGTGCTTTATGTAAGTCAACTATTACGCAAGGATTTTCAGATAGTGTTTTCAATAAATATTTGTAAATGTACACTTGACGAAGATTTTGAGATTCTTGCATTTACATTACTGAATACATGTTCGGATTTTCAAGAATTCTTACTGATTGGCAATTACAATGACTTTATTGAAAAACATTATGGTGCTGTAAGAAAGTTGTATCATTGTGCAAATGATGAATTTAATTTCAAATGTGAGAGCACTGAGACGAGAATTCGAGAAGAACGAGATATTAAAACAGATGAACTTTACCATACAGTTTATCGGGGTATTCAGTGGGTAGGGCTTTTCCACGAACAAATAGGAAACAATATTCATAAATAAAATGCACTAGACACAATAATTAAGCGGATTAAACATTATTTGGTTGACAACATCAAATTAGATTGTGATTTGAGGTAAGATCATATATGTTGAATTGGAGTGACAAAACACATACTTCTATGAATGTATATTTCTCTGAAAAGCATTTAACTAAATATTACCTTAATATAAAATGGCACTACTGAATTATGATAATTGTCCTTGTAAAGAATAAGGTGTCAACGCATAGTGGCAATAGCAAATATGTTCCCTGCTAATGTTTGTAATAGTATTGGCAATTATAATAAAATGGATTGTTTTACATGTAAGTGCTTGAAAGAGCAATAAAATATTGCTGTTGAAGTTTACGGTTTACCTCAAGAAGGGGTGGGGAAAGCAGAACATCAGTTAATGTGCCTTGAAAAATGAATAACAACGATATTACACACCTAGCGGGAAGACATTATGATATGAAACAGTACAATAAAACACATTGACATATTTTTTGATAAAGAAGAGGTTAAAGACAGGCTAAAAACAGAAGAATGTATTATCAAGCAGTAAAATCGTATTGTAAGAACAATATCCATGAACTTCGGCAAGTTTTAATACATTGTCTTGAAATTTGTAAAACCTTTCAAACTTGTTGGAACACACTTTCCACACCTGAACAGTTATTGGACTTAAAGAAATCATACATGTTATATGAGAAACATATTAAGCGACTGAATTGAAATTTATAAAGACCAATTAATACAAGGCTATGAACACTATTGCAGTCAAGAAAGAATGGGGATATATTCCAATGAAATCGGTATTGAAATTTAGCATGGACCACATTAAGAAACTGTTTTGTCATTTTCTTTAATTATGATTAAACGCGCTAACTTTTTATGCCCTTTCGCTATACTACAATTTCGACTTAGATCACCTTAAAACATACAAAGACCAATGACAGAAAAAAAGCAATGTTCCAAATGCATTTTACTGGGATTGTTGACATAATTTGAGTTAGTCCTTAGGAGTTCCTTTTTTTATTGGTTAACCACTTTTCGGGGGTGATAATTGGTCGAAAAAAGGCTGATTTTGGTGGGTGTGTTTGAATTACCAGGTCACTTCTCACTAAATTGAAAAATAAACTGCCCCCCAAAAATTGGGGGCAACTTGCCCCAAATTGTTGGTAAATTACCCCCAGCATGTCTTGCAAATTTACACCCAGTTTACCCCCAAATTTACCCCCCGCATTGATTTACACCCCCGATTTACCCCCAAGTTCCCCAATTTACTCACAATTTACCACCAGTTTGGGGGCTGATTTTTCCCCAGAATTAGGGGTACATATTGCCAAACGATGCAAGTGGATAGGCCTCTATGGTCCCCATCCTCATAAAGAAGGCATGCAATTCAAAAGTTCTAAGGTACCTTACTATCCTTCTGGGTTTTGAGCGTGGCTCTGATGCATCAAGGGTCAGCCACCCTTTGCTGGTGCTTGATTCTAAAGGGACACATTGCTCCAAACATTTGGTTAGTCAAAAAAGGTGGTTTCTGAATGAACTCAAGAGGATGGATACACTCTCTGAACGAAGACATATCCAATATGATTTACTTACCTCCATTTGCTGAAGCCCCCGGGAAAAAAAAACAAGAATATATCCAGTAGTGATAAATTCCCTTTAAAAGCAAAAGGGGAAAATAGAAAGGGTTCTTAAGCAAATGGAACCTTAGTTCCTGAGTGGATGGGCCAGACAAAGTCTGAACTTGTTGTTTACCACCAAAAAATGTGAAGTCCAGGAAATCGGTAAGTGAGTTTAAACAACCGCTAACAAAAACAAAACAAACAACTGTCTGGTCCAAAACTTGTCTGCGCTCCGGCCTGGCTCTGGAGGCTGCACTGACCCTCGCAAAAAATCTCCACTTCCAGGTTCCTCGAGAACATGATGCGACAACTTGAAAAGCCAGCAAAAGTGATGGAACACCGAGCGGTAAAAAAGAGGCCATGTGTTTTGGGAGTTGGAGTCTTTGTTGGGAGTTTAACAGGAAAACCAGGAGTTTCTTGTCATCCCCTGAAAAGAAATCTGGGGGCAAACCTCCAAGGCTGCTTTGGCCACGGCTCGTCACACTTATCGGGCACTTCGAGCCGGGCGCAAGCTCCAGCTTGCAAAGACCTGGAAGGTGCGGTGTAAGACTCGTTGGGCTGCCCAAAACTTAGTGGCTTTCTGCCCCCCTGCTAAAAGCTTAATTGGCAAAAAGTTAAAGTCCTAACATCCAAGCAAAAGGCACCAAAGAATCTGGGTTCCTGTTGGCTTCCCAAAAGGGGTTGCCACAGACTAGAGTTCCCTCCGGGTGTGTCTTGAAATTTGAAGGGGCCCCCGAAATGTGGGTGGTCTCTTGGGTTCTGAAAGCACCCCCAAGCTGGGCCTCTTTTGTCAGGGACCCGAAAATGGTATGTTGTGGGGGAACAGTCGACGTTGGCTCGGGGGTTAAAGCGTCCCCCCTTCCTTCCATGGCTTCAACTAGGCACCTGCGTTGTCCTTCTGGAATAGATGGCGCTGGTAAAACGATATCCCAACTGAAACCAGCGCAATCTATGTTTCACCGGCCTTTACCCATGGTACTTGCACAGCTTAGCCGGACACGGCGCTCAACCAAAGCAAAGCAAGAACATGCACTCAAGGCTTTGCGGAGATGAATTGCCTTGCAGGCTTTGGAAATCAGCATTTTGTTGGCTCAGCAGTTGGATGTATCTTTTTGCGAATACCTTTTTGTTGGGTGTTTGTTCTAGCCCACCAAATGAACGCCTGGTCCACAAATCCAATGTCCGATGTGGATCTGCCAGGCGTTTTGGGCCAGTTGCGGACACAACAATAAGATGTTCACTTTTTGGGGACATGTCAGAACCAAGAATGAGCCACAAAAGGACGGCTTTGGGCAAGTGATAATGTAAAAACTACACTCCCTCAGACTAACAGCCGAAAAGCTCCCAGAAGGCCTCTGTAACTGGAACCCCGTCTTCCAAAGGGTCCTGGAAGCTTCCATGGAATCGCCTCGCGGATGGTATAATCATGCCGCACTTGGCTTTCAAGTAGACCAACACACACACTTCTACTTGTTTCGGCCCTTCAAAAAAAACCATCCGACACGGCAGGTGCCAAAAGGTCATGCGTGCCCAAATCCAAGTTAAGCTCTGCGCCAAAGACAACCTTTCCCTGCTGGCCTCCATCTGAGATGATGTTTCCTGCGAAGGCACGGAATAAAGATGTTGTTTGTCGAGGCATGGTGGAACTTAAGGCATGAGTTCTATGTGACATCGATCCTTGGCGATTGCCATGACTAGTTAGTGTTGTCATTCCGGAGGACAAAAACGACGGCTGGCAGCTACGTGACGCAAACACCGCCCGTGGCACCAGGAATCCAACATAAACAATGCATCCAACTAGGCTGTCACAAGCAGGACACAGGCAAAGTGGGAGAAAATATAATATACAGTCAACTTGGAGGAAGCCGCGTTGAATGTCTCTGACACACAACCAAATAAACAACCCAACCATACCACAACCTGCCAATTTATTCACATGCACCCACTCAACAGAAGAAACAAATCGTATCGTTGCTGGTTCCTTGGGTTGTTCGCTCTCTCTCTCTCTCTCTCTCTCTCTCTCTCTCTCTCTTTCTTTCTCTTTCCCGCTCTCTCACGGATTCTTTCTCCTCAACATTATCACCAACCCCTCTCTTTCACCATGTAAAGGCGGCGTCTCAATTGGAAAGGCGGCGTCTCAATTGGCCAACATGTATCTTTCACGCAGCCCCCTCTCTCTCTCTCTCTCTCCCTCTCTCTCTCGCCTTCCTAATCTAGCCTGTTCAAAACTAATTAGGTCAAAGCAACATACCTGGACCCCCCAACTCCAGATATTTTTAAGGAAATCCATTCTCCGTTTTTTTAATGCTTTTAAAAAAGTAGTTGTTTCAGTAGGTCTGGGCCTCTTAGCTTGAAAAGTAGTGGCGATGGCCAAAAGCCAGGAGACATGAAAAAGAAAAAACAACTGGAAGCAGCAAAACAAACTAATCACAAATGCCGAAATGCTGGGGACTTTTTCGGAGTGGATGCTCGTGCAAAGCAGCGCACCAACACTTCCCCTTACAAGCAAAGGTTGGGCGAAATAGCGCGGCCAAAGCTGAAGACAAGACAAGCTACATGCGTGCCTTGACAAATCCATCCCTGCAAAAGTATGGTGTCGCGTTCCGCTGGGCCAGGGCAACTTCTTGCCAAGGCTCAAATTTCACAACCCAAGTCTCCGGAAATTCATTGATTTTGGATTTTGACGGATTTTGACAGGTTTTTTGACGGAGTTTGGACAGATTTTGCCGGATTTTTGCGCAGCGTTTCAGGTGTGCGGATTTGTTGTTTTTGCATGACACGCACCCAAAACCCCAATCAGTGAGCATTGAGGCCCTTGCTTTAAGCCTTGGAACAGGCAGGAGCTTTCTCCACACTGCCTCTAGACGGATCCCAGTTCTGCTTTCAAGCATCCGTGCATCTAGCATGTGTTTTGTTTTCTTGTTTTGGGTGAACATTGCCAATTGCGCAATGTAGCTATGGCTGCAATCTCCCTCTTTTTAACGCATCAGCTCTACCAGGAGGTTTTGTTTTGTGATTCGCTGCCAGTTTACCGATAAAGTCACTACTTGCATGCATCTTCCATGAAAAATCAGCAGACTTTGGATGGGGTATCAGGGCTTGAGAAAAATCAGGAGCACAACATCATGTTTTGGAACATAAGTTCATTTTCAGGTGCGACGGCCGAGGAGTAGGTGTCCGTCTTCTAGGAGGCTCCTCAAAAAGCAGAAGTAGTCTGCGGAAACTCCGTATCTTTTCTCTAAAAAGGTGGGCTCAGGAATACGTAATCCTCTCAAAACTGGAGCAATAAACCAACCATGCAAACGTCATCCAATCCGTAAACCGCATTATCCACAATCCGCTAATCATTGGGAATCAGGTTGTGGACAAGCTAGCTTACACAGATTGCCAAAATCCACAAAAAAGGCTGAATCCCAACTGAGCGGTGACCAAAAATGAAAGGACAAAAGGTCATAATATGGGACTGGTTTTCCGCGCATCTTCCGCTGGCTTCCGCGGCACGGGTTTTTGCTTCTGCAAAAGTACTTTGCTTCCGCGGTTTCCGCGCATGGTCTGTGTGGGATTTCTGTTGGGCTGGGGTTGTTTGCGCGAGACTACGCAAAGCACAAATAATCTAGTACAATTTGTCTGGCCCAAAAAAATGTTTTCCGGCCCGACGTCTGGAGAATAAGCACGATTTATTTGGCTCTGACAAGTGTTTCCCAATGCAGCTTTTTGACGCGAATTTGTTTGTGCCAAGCAAATCGCACTTGGTTTTTCCGACTTCGCAAAGGAGGATGGGAAATGTGAGGCTAGCGCATGTTTTGGTCAGAGGGGCGGAGTGAAGCAGTGTGTAACGCGGACATAGCTCTGATCCGCAGTGCCTTTTTAGACGCAAGGGTTCGATTCTTCCCTGGTCTGGTTTTGGTGTCTAGTGTATTGGAGTGTGGGACGCAATAAAAACGATTTGTTTGGCCCAAACACATTGGATTGCAAGTTGCGTGGTTAGATTCTTTTTGCTCCAAGAACCCGGACCAAACAAATGTTTGAGCCGAATCAATTGTTCAGTTTGTTTGCCATCTGTGAAGCTAGCTTCCGCGGGCTTCCGCGGCAACAAAGCTTGCAATGCGCTCCGCAGAAGCTTCCGCAAGCTTCCGCGCCCTGAACAAATCCCTCCGCGGAAACCCATTTTGGCACGACTGAGTTTCTTCATAGAATTTTTGATCGCCGCTCAACTGAACTCTGTATCCACCAATCCCACCAGCTCCCACCCGATCGTGGAGTTTACAGACGCTGAATCATCCAGGTTTCCTGCAGGATCCCGAAAGGCATGCCAACAAAAAGAACAGCCAGCACTTAGGGTTTTAGAATTTTGGACGTTGCACCTAAGCCCTCCAACTGGGTCACGTGGGGCCCCGCAATACCATGATTGCATTGGTCAAAGCCAAGCCTTTCACAACTATCATGAATCTTGCAAGAGTGGCATATTTTACAGCAAGCGCAGCACGCGTGCTGCCACACTTCCTGCGCGGCGAACTCTTTTTTGGCTGCCGTTCTTGCCTGTCTGAGCGGCTCTTTCTGTCTCCAGCACGCACACACAACAGACCTATGGGCATGTTGCTCAAGTGGGTGTATGTCCGTCTATGTAGGTTCCGGCACGGACGGCGAGCGCACGATGTGTGTCTGTCTGCGTGTGTCTGGATTGGCTGACGCAAACACCCCCAAACCCCCCCCACCTCAAAAAGTTGCGTGAGAGCCCCCAACCCCAAAATGTGGGGTTGGAAGCTCATGGCGCTAGTTAACTACCCCCCAAAAAAAAGTTGGGGCACTACCCTATTTTTTAGGGTAGTTTGAGGGCCCAGGTGTAAGCATCCATGGCTTCACAGGACGCGACGTTTCGACGCCCGATCGGTCCAAAGCATCGGGACTTGGTCACCTGAAGCTTCTCGAGGCAACGGACCTGGTCCGCCTGGCGATCAAGAGCTCATCGCCTTCGTTTTTGGTCGGACCCAACCTTCCTCTGGTTTTTGCGGGTTTTTGCAGAACACACGCCAATGGTCGGACCCGATGTTTGTCTGCTCCCTTAACTTGCTGGTTTGATAGGCAGGGGCCCACAATCCAGCCTCTGGTTTCCTTTAAAGGAGTCCCCTTACGGTTGATTCCCAACGCTCGGAAGGCTATGCCCTAAAAACACAAATTTACACCAGCATAGACCCCAGATAGCAGCGCTTGCACACCAGCACCAAAAGCACCCCCCGAAGAACGTGTTGAGCAAAACCCGGCCGTCAATCGAGCAAAAATGCGCCCGCACCATCACCCTGAAGAGCAGCCCAAACAGCACCCGCCAAGACATCCAGCCGTCAATCTCGCGAAAATCGACCACCCCAAAAAGAATCCCAAACCACCATAAAATGCGCCCGAACCATCACCAGCACCTCAAACAGCTCAGCACCAGCACCCCACACTGCATTCCTCTAACCTGCACAGGCCCCCTAACACCCTACAGTCAATCTTCACCTCAAACAGCACCCAATAAGCACCTACACCAGCACCCCAGCCAATCAATCTGGCAAATCACTTTCCCCTCTATTTTAGAAGTTAGAACCCCTAGAGCTTTCAGCCATCTGGGGAACCAAACAACACACCCGTACTGTGGATGGTTGAGAAATCCATTTTGCACCCGGTTGAGACACCATGGCTTCTGATTCGATTCTGCTGTAAATACAAACCGTACCAGCACACATTGTGGTTCCAACCATGGGTGCATTTCGCGGTGCGTTGGATGGGCTTCGCAACCATCCACTGCATTCTACTCAAAATACAAATCCCTTATAGGAACCTTGTAACTCAGAGACGCCATCTCGTATGGGTGCGTGCAAAGTGGCCATGAAACAAATCTCCGGTTCCACGATTGAGCCATTCACGGAATTGGTTTGGGAAAACAGGATCCCCCCAAATCATTTCTCGTGGCGAGGAGGGGGGTGCCCTTATATCCCTGAGCCCATGGGACGTGCGGCTCAAAGAAGCTGATCTGGAACGGGATATGAGCGATGCAAAATGTCGGAAGAGTAGGACTCATCTAGAATTTCATTCATGAACTCTTTTGTAAGCCCGTTTTGCCAAGCCGACTGCCAGCCAAGACTACTTTAAAGACCCCCACAAGGTTTTGCAAAAACACCCTCTGAATCTATTTGGGACAATTGCAGAAACCCCCCCCCCCCCCCAGATTACAGCGCCCTGTCCGGCCCAAAATCAAGAAAATACAAAAACGCCAAAGCTAATTACCAAAGCTATAGCCAATACTTTTGCCAACGCTAACTCCTTTCATAGTCTCAAGGTTTGCGAACAAGTCCGGAAAAATAAGCAAATATGTCCATGAGCCTTAAATTGATTCCCTTTAAAACCAGGAAAGCATAAAACACGTTCACTTCAGCAAATGGATCAGTTTCACTCGTCAAATCTTGACTTCTCGCCGGATGTATATATATATATATAATTCCGTCCCATTTGAGAGGCTTTAAACACGAATGATTTTTCAGATGGCACTACCAAGTCTCTACAATAACTTACCATTGGGGGGGTCACGGGAAAAATTCTTGGCCAGGACGGTGACGGGCCCATGCATTTCCCATGTGCTATCCAGGCTTGCCCTGTAATTCTTTTGCAAAGGCGCCTTGACTTTCAATGAGATGTTGAACTTGTGCCCCGCCCCGCCATCGTAGGAGTACAGCGGGCCTCTCCACGAGCCGCGGATACGGACGCATATGGAAGACAACTTTCCTTTTGAGGAGCCGCCTGTCCACGTTCATTGGTGGAAAGAGGGCAAAAGAAACGGGTGTGGCTTGTTTTTGGGGGGGCCAACTAAACTGCGGGCTTCCGTTTCAAGTGTCGCTCTTGTTTTTCCAACCGAAACGGGTTCTCCTGCAAGACAGACCCAAGAGGTACTTTTGCTGCATTGCTCATGCAACATTCACATCCCAACACATGACAGCCAACCAGCCAACGACTGCTCGCGGGATACAAAACAATCCCTTACATAAGCCTTCATGTTTGTGTGATCGAACGCAAAACATCACTGACCACACACAACAGGGCCTCCCCCGCCCCAACAATCATCCAAGCCGACCGGGAAGGTGTGGGAACACGGTTTCCTTTTCAGGGGACCATTTCTGTCGTCCATGTTGGGTACAGGGCTAATATGCCCCGTATAGGAGAAACATGGAGCAAAAGGGAGAACGAAGGCGAGTCGACTCGATTCTTGGCCTTCCCATAGAGCTGTCCCATTTTCTTGAGCCTGAGGTCTCCGGGTGCAAGATGCCACAGTTACCAGGAGGTGCCCTTGGTTTCTCCTCGAACACATATGGCCCAACGTTTCACCAATTATTGATGGTAAATGTGGGTGTATACATATATATATATATATATATTCATATAACCTACAAGGTGATGTTTAAACGCACCCCAAAGGGCCATAACTTCTTCCATGCCTTCGGGCGTGCTGCAAAAAACTTGGATGCCGCAAAGGTGCCAGGGGGAAATGGCAGTGCCCGTAGTCCACTGTGGCGTATGACACTTTCCATGTGGGCGCTTTGTTGCACGACTTCGTCCTCGGCAAAAAAAAGTCAAAGACTCGCATAGATCAAGTCTCAGGCCAGGGGCTTTCGCTTTGCAGCGCATGCAAGAAGTCGGCGCAAACCAAACATCCACAAAGCAGCACCTCGACAGGCACATCACCTTGCCCAAGCGCGCTGCGCGTCCGCATCCAAAAAGCGGGGGGGTTGGGGGGGCGCTTGCCCCCCCCATGTAGCAAGCCACCCCATCATGAAGTCGGCGCAAGGCAGACATCCACAAGGCAGCACCTCGAAAGGCGCATCATCTTGCCCAAAGCCTTTTCCTAGAATCCACAGCGGCACGTTCGCAAGCAGATCCAGCCATCCGTGAGTGAGCAGCTCCCCCAGCGCTGCTGCGCGCCCGCATCCAATCAAGCGGGGGGGGGGGGGGTGGGGGGCCGCAGCCCTCCCCATGAAGCAAGCCACCCTCGGCACAAGGCAAACATCCACAAAGCAGCACCTCGAAAGGCAGCACGCCTTGCCCCCTTAAAGTAGCCATCCTCTCTGCCTCTCTTCCGAAAAGTGATAGCTCCTTGCCCCCAACCATGAAACAAGCCATCTGCTATGTCAGCTTGCAGCGCAGTGAGTTACTGCGCGAATGAGCAGCTTGCCCAGCGCTGCGCGCCCGCACAAAAGCAGCCCGCCCATGAAACAAGCCACCCTCTCATGTTTGCTTTGGCAGGCATGCTGGGCTCAAAACTGCACACAGGTCATGTTCAGCCGTGTCAATTGCACAAATCCAGGCAATTGCATGGAGCACAGGTGATGCAACCCATGCAGACCATGGCACGCGCTGAATCCTGAATCTAAGCCATAGCAAGGGGCAAAGATGTCGGCATGGGGGCCAGGCCGCAGGACATGCTCGGCAGAAATGGGCGAAGGATAAATTGCAGGGGCACGTTCAGAACCCCCCCCCATCATGAAGTTGGCGCAAGGCAAACGTCCACAAAGCAGCACTCGAAAGACACATCACCTTGCCATCCAAAAAGTAGCGGGGCTGCTCGGCAAGGTTTTGCAACCGTCCTCCTCACGCCTCAGGCTGTCTGAAGGGAAGCGGAGACACGCGAGGCACAGGTCAAATAAAACCCCTGACAGGGCAGGAAACAACCCGTTGGGGGGGGGGCTGGGTCTTTTTCTGACCTGCGAAGGGTCTTTGTCCGACCTTGTCGCCACTACGGTTCCTCTCGGACCTGCCCCAGGATCTCCTTTCGACCTGTCCCTCCGGGCCCGTCTGCTGCTCGACAGGGCCTTTTTGCGACCTGTCCTCCTGAGGCTGCTTGAGGGGAAGTCGAGAAACCCCTGGCAACAGGTCAAATAAAACCCCCGCAGGTCCAAAAAAAGACAGTCCTTAGGACCATGACGCAATGAGCGGCATCTTTCGTCCTCACCGCAATGGTACGTTGTCATCATGCCGCAAGTCCTCCGTCGAGCATATCCAAAGCAGCACGTGCATCAAATCTGATAGGGTTCTGGGCTTGATGCGGCAGTCTCGAACTCCAAAGCCGACTGTGCCACACAGGTGATTGCAAAAAAAAAAAACTAAACCTACAGCAGACACTACATGTAAATGCGCAAACGCTTGTGCAGAAAACAAACAGACAGGCAGGCAGGCAATCAGGCAGGCCGGCACATATTCAAGCATATGGCAAGTATGCATCTTTCCTCGCTATAAGCAAGAAGTTTGTGCTGCAAATCAGCAGTAATTTTGCTTTGAAGGTTTCGGCACAGAAAGCACGGTGTAAAAAACACCCAGCGCCTCTATTATTGTCCTATTCCGATTGGAACCAATCACAGAGTAATGCACTTAGGGATTCCAATGTGGGGAGGCATGTAATTATTCTAGCCATCAATACATGGAAGACTGGAAACCCATGCCACACAGGGAACATAACTGTTGCTTCCCACCAGTCGGCTGGGTGCTGGAAACCGCGGGAAACCATCCTGGGAGAGTTTCGGGCGCCGTGTCCTGCCACTTTCAAACAAACAGAACCAAACAAGCACACAAAGTGACAAACATAACAAAGTGACCAAGCACTTGGGGGCTGGCTTTCTAGCCAGAGTTCAGCTTCTATATCTTTGTTCTCTGCGTCGCGTTGTGTCTATCGCTTGGTTTCACCGAGTGCTTTTGGTTTTGATGATCTTTTTTGGCGCAGCGTCGCGTTGTCATGATACAGGACGAAGCTGGAGAGGACGTACTGCAGCCACTCTTCCACCTTGTTGATGTCCTTATTCAGCCTCGAGGAAAAAAGCAAAACGAAACGAAGGCAGCACCTTGGCTGTGCAAAACATAAGTTTCACCTGTTCTGGGTTTCACGGAAAACCCCTGGCTGCTGTTGACAAGCCCTTTGCAAAAAGTGAATAATTTGTAGGATTATCCCTAGATTTGTCAACCAACAAGTTGAAGTCTAAAGATCCAACATAGCAACCAAGGCACGGGCTCTTGGTGGCTTCGCAAAAGAAGAGCAGGATTCTGCAAGTTGGGTCCCATGAAAGAATTGAATCCTCAAGTAAAGGGCCTTCAGAGTCAGCGAGTTTTATCTTGAGCTCGAAGTAAAATAGGCAAACGATGTGTCTAACGTTTGCTTTTTTGGTGTGAGGGGTCGAATAGATAGGGAGCCGCATAAATGGGGACATCCGCTTCACACTGTTTGGGCTTGTCTCAAATGGGGGACCCGACAAATGGCTGGCTTCCTTTTGGTTTCCAAGCAAACAGGGATTCACCAATAGAAACTCCCGTTTGAAGGTTTGCCAACCGAAACAACATGCGGGGTTCTCAGATGTGAGCGACAACCCTCCGTGAGCTATGCAACCCCCACCTACATGCAGTAGACACAATCCAAGCCGACTTCTGCTTTTCCTTCCGCTGCTCCCCAAATGCCAAACGCCTGGAACCAAATCATCCAATGCTGACAGTCATATGCATCATGAACAACATTCTGCCAAAAAAACGTGGGAGAGTTGATTGTTCCCCCTTTCTCCCATGCAAGTAACAATGGAACGTACCCTTTTCACATCGGCCTGAATTGTGGAGACTTGATCTAAGGCTCAGTAGGTTTGCATAGCGTCCACATGAACTCGGCATCCTGCGAAGCTGAATACTAAGTCTCTCACTGGATGGATCTGCAATCCGGGTCCTCAATTTAGATCCACACCCAGTTCTGGATGGGCATCAGAATGCTCTGCTCAACTGTCTCACCAGGGTTTTTCGTTGCGTGCTTGCTGCCAACTGAAAAGGCAGATGCCATTGAGCATCTCCAAACTAACATTATGTCTCATGTTTTGTCTGGCCGCTAAGTATAACTTCGTTTAGGAGGAGACCCAGCACTCTACACGCATCTTCACGAGGGCGGCTCCGAATCATTTGATCCTTCGGACATGTCGAGCATGGGCCCTAGGACATAAGGACCCCATGCCAGTTTTCTACCCTGTGGTTTTGGCTGTTAAAGGCCACCGCAGAAATACCAATCTTGAGTGGCGCGTTGGGGTGTGTGATCAAACTGGGGCACCTCGAAAAAAAGGGTTTCGCTGTTCCTCTTGGTTTTCCCAAGGTGAAAAGGATGGCCTCAAACAACACGCACACACACACACAGACACACACACACACACACACACACACACACACACACACACACACACACACACACACACACACACACACACACACACACGCGCGCACACACACACACACACCACACCCATGTTCCAGCAGTTTGTTGGTCGTTTGTTCTTCTTGGTGGGTGTGTCTTTTTTTTGAGGGTACCCTGGTTGGGGTTGGTGAAAAACACTGGGCGCTCGGTGCCCTGGGAGCTTTGACGGCTTCCATGCCCCAATGAACCGCGTCAGGTGGCTGCGACCCGGCGAAGGCCCCGGCAAAGAACATGCCGCCTGGCAGGTTGGAAAGCCGAAGCGCAGAAAAGCGCAGAAAGAGCCGTGCTCAAGTTGAGCTCCAAAATCTGGGTGTGGCTTAAAATAGAAGAGCCATGGGTCTATCTGGGTCCAAAGTAGGGGTGTGGCTCTTAAATTTTGAGACCCATATAAAACTGCTTGGTAGGTACCAAACAAGGCGAACCACCCTTAGCCTCCAAGTGCGAACTTGTTGATAATGTGTACCATCACCTGGACTAAACAAAACATATGCAATCGAAGCCTTCCGACCGGCCCAAGGCTCAACCTTCATTCACCTGCGCAACTCAGCTGTTAATGGAACAGTCCAATGGTTTGGATGGCACCATTGCTTGCTCGTGAAGGTGAGCGCATGCCACCCCTGAGTCAAGCATGCCTGAGTTGCTTCTACTCTGCAGCGGCAAACGCGGGCCAAACAGTACCCTCCCACGAGCTAACATGGAAGTGCACAGACCCCTGTAGAAAGACTACTTTCCTCTTGGTTAGTTGGCCTTTTGCACAAATCCATGCTAGTTGGTGGGAGGGTATGCACCATTCAGACAGTGCAAAATTAAGCTGTAGCGTGCGCCTCTCATGGGGAGGCGAACTTGTTTGGCCAAAGGATCAGGATTACTTGTCGACGCCGGATTGATAAGCCTGCTGGATTGAGGGGGAAACCTCCACAAATGAAGGTGGCCTCTAAAAGCGAACGTTTATATGTCAACAACTTTATCGATCCTGGGTCAAGATTACCAGTAGCACTTTTTTTAAATAAGGGGTGCATCTTCTTGTAGGGGACCCCCCAAACAAAAAGTAGTTGTCCTTTGGGAAACCACGAAAAGCAGCAGCATCCAAATAAAAACACCCGCAACTGGGTCTGGGTCAGACATAGGAATCCCTGAAATGGGTGGCCTAAGCTGGCAAGGACGAAAACCAGCGGTCAATATCCTGGTGGTTTGGCTTTGACCCATACCCCAATGGGAACTCTTCACCACGAGGGGCCCTTCAAACAACTAGAAATCCAGTCCATGGGATGGCAGCAAAAACAAGATGCCCCGATGGTATTGCAAGGGGTCGGACCAGGAAATCAAAATGTGCATTGTACCATTTTGTGGCTGAGCATGGCTCCCTATCCCATAACCTGAAACAAAATAAGGGTCTAAAGACCCCAAAAGAATTCAAATGATACTACGGATGGACGAAATCCATTGCGCACCACCTGAGAAACCCTGGATGATGCGATTCCCCGTAGATACCATGGTTTCAATTCGTGGTGCGAAATGGATCTCGTCATCCACAGTCGGTCTTGGACCCTGGTTGCAAAATCACTCCGGGCTGTCAACACCGTCCCTTTCCATCCAATTCGAATCGATTCGAATCGCGGAGATCGCAGGCCTTTCTTGCCGATGGTTTGAAAAGGGCTCGTCGCCTAGGAACTTTTGGCGAAATCTCTTGGCGGGAAGGGAATCGGAAAGGTGGGACAGAAACATACAAATCAACCAACCAACAAAACAAACAAACGAATAGACCAACAAACAAACAAACAAACAAACAAACAAACAAACAAACAAACAAATTACTTCGCTTCGAGCAGCCCCCACCCTCCACACTCACGAGCTTACGACCGTCAAACTCCACTTGTCTGCGAACTAATCTCGAGAACTCAAACATCGGTTCCATTAACAAAAGCCAAGCCCCTTCCAAACACAAACCTGACGGGGGATTAAACGAAGTTGCTTATTCACAACCCAAAGCGACACAAAAGCTTCCCTTTCCGATCTCTCGCAAAACACGAGGGCAGCCCCACTGCGCGCCGGGCGGGACATTAAGCAAAACCAGACTGGCGAGCTTTTCTGGCGGGACACTGGCGGGATCCACTAGCGAATAATAGCGAGCCGCTCCGGCTTGATATTAGGAGGATACTCGGCAGGATCCACTAGCAAGGGATACTCAGCGGGATACTCGACGGGATCCACTGGCGAGCTACTGTGTGGGATACTCAGCGGGATACTCGGCGGGATCCACTGGCGAGCTACTGTGTGGGATCCACTGGCGAGCTACTCTAGCGAGATACTCGGCGGGATCCACTGGCGAGCCTCTCTAGCAGAATACTCGGCGGGATCCACTGGCGAGCCGCTCTGGCAGAATACTCGGCGGGATCCACTGGCGAGCGGCTCGGCGGGATACTCGGCGGGATACTCGGCGGGATCCACTGGCGAGCCGCTCTAGTAGGATACTCGGCGGGATCCACTGGCGAGCAGCTCTAGCGGTATACTGGGCGGGATCCACTGGCAAGCAGCTCTGGCGGGATACTCGGCGGGATCCACTAACGAGCTGCTCTGGCGGGATACTTGGCGGGATCCACTGGAGAGCTACTCTAGCGGGATACTGAGTGGGGGCATAGTGTAGAAGCATCGCAAACATAGATTCCATCACAAAATCTAACAACCCCTTCCTGTCGGGTGGGGAACAAACAAACAAACACAAAAACAAACACAACGGCCAAAACGAAAAGCTGCAGCTGCAAGAACGCACTGAAGATGTACACATCTTCTAGACACGGCAAGTGACGGACTGTGGATGGACACAAAATCCCGCACGCGTTGGGACGGATGAAGGGCTGTTAATACTGAGATACAGCATCTACCATGGCTTAGTTGTTTGTCCATCCAGAGTAGTATCTCAGCAGGGCATCATTTACGCTCTGCAAGGCAGAAGTACCTTGGTTTCAAAAACAACTTAGCAACACCCAGCACCACTTGGCTTTGGGAGAGACCAAGCTGGTTGTAAGGGTATTGTTGGTCTTACATGGTCTTTCTGTAAACATGTTGACATTTTAAATATGAAACCAGGCAGTAGAACCTCCGACCAAAATGGCGTTTATGTGGGGTTGGGTTTTGGGCAGCTGCCCAATGCTGAAGGCTCCATCAGCCTAACATGAATCACATGGCATTTTCCAAATTGAAGATTCCAAAAGAAAGGGCGCGCTGTGGAAGGACGCGCTGTTTGTTGGTATTTACAGGGGAATCGTCATTCCAGAAATTTCTTAGTTAGGTGCAGGATGTTGTCCATCCGCAGTCAGTCAACCGTCCGTCCGGACTCTGATCTTCCATGTTCGCGTTGAAACGGGTTGGGTACGCAAAAACATGACAACTGATCCAGGCCCTGATCAAAACTAGCATAGAATCCCAAGCGCACGCCTTCAACACATTGCCCTGAGCCGTCTCAACCGCACACAACCTACTGGAAACCATTTGAAGGCGGGGGACGCTTGCATCAGGGTCCTATCTTAGCTTTAACGCTTGCAGCCACAGAGTCTACAGGCATGTCTGTTTGAAGGGCTGGCCCTTTCTGCCTGGAGATTCTTGTAGTGCGTTCTGTTGAATTGTGAATGAAGCTTCGCCCAAGCACACATGCCGCCATCAAGTGCAAACGGCACCTGGCAAGGCAAACTACAACATGCTTCCAGATACCCATCCTTAAGTCCTCTAGCCTCGTGCTGGGAGTTTTGCTCTGCGAGGATTCTCCGTGACCTTGAGGATCTCTTTGCGAATGATTGATATTTCAGGGCGCTTGCGCTTTTCGATTGTGAGAATGCATTTTCTCCCAAAAACACCTTTTCATCGCCTTTTCATCGGACATCCACCTAATCCTCCCTTCCCAACTTCGCAAGGGCAACATGGGGGGGTCACATAGGTTCATTCAGGGTCATGAAGACTCGCTTGTTGGAGCATGTTCAGCCGGGTTCACTCAGTGCTATCACCCTCTGGATTGGGATTAGCGGTTGTGGTTTCGCAGGTGTTTATGATATTTCAGGCCCTGCAAAGGTCCTCAAGGATGTGTTGCATGCTTTTCCAGCGTGTCTAGCGCCCATTCGAACTCACAGAGACCAAGCGCACGTGCATGCTCCAGAAGGGCTTTCAACAATGTGACCAAAACCATTGACAACCGGCAAAGGGCGAAGGCTTCGGCAAATTGGCGGGACACAATTTGAAACGATGACTATTTTGGGACGGTGCGGTGAATTAGAAACATACTGCCTTGCAGCATTTTCTCGGCATTTCCCCCAAAGATTCGTGAGCTGTTCTCCATGCGAATTCGCGTTTCTGAGGTTGCTTGTGACTAACATGGAGTCTTCGCGTATCGAGACAAGACACTACCACGGAACGTATTATTGTTTGTTGCATGTGTGGGTTGCACATGTTTGATAGCCGAGCGCAACTCCAGAAAGCTTGCAAGTGAGGGTGACAACCATCGACGGGCGGCATACTCAAACTCGCTGTGGCCAACCATCTCAAATCCGCATTTCGGTGAACGTGAAGGGCAAACAGGGCTCCTTAAAGGATATGGTGGTTGTTCTAATTTTGTTGGTCTCGAAACGGCCATTCTTCGCGAACAAAAAAATTACTGACGCCAATCTTTCGCGGATTCATCGCCGTGCACTTTTCGTTGCTGAAGTCAGAAAGTCGCAGCTTTTAAGTACCAGCTTAGTGCCCAAATGCGCTTCCCCAACTCCAGCTGTGAAGTCGCAACCCTCATTGTAGGGGAGAGTATATGACATGCACTTCCGCAGCTCCGGCTGGAAAGCCGCAACCTTTCAGTACCAAGCTAGTACACTGACTATGTACACTGACTAGCGCGGCGCTCAGACAGTACCTCTCCTTGCAATCGAAGAAAGCGCTTTCGCTCGGACTTTCGTGGATCTCTCGCGGAACTTTCGCGAAGCATCACCCACGTTTCTAAAGCCACAGACTAACACCCACGCACTTGGAGCACTAACCAGCCAAGCAGGGTATCAAACTGTAGCCTCACCAGGCTGTATCAGGGGAAATCATCAAAAGGTTTTAAACAACTTATAAGGAAGACTCAGCAGAAAAAATGAATGCTTTCACATATGACTGATTTACAATATGCATTTGCGCAAAACTTTCGCGAAATAAATACCTTCGTGACTCCATCGCGAGTCTTTCGTGGAGCTACCGCAACCAATTTCAATGGTCACCGAATACTAAACTCCTTACAAGGACCTTTAGAACGACTCCAATATATCCCAAAACCATCCCCTTCCTGAATCAGGCGTTCCTGAATCAGGCAAAGGTGTTCAGTGGGCCCAATGCATCCTTTTTCCGGGAGCTTGGACCTGTCGATGCTACCAAACCTTGACCCCCCTTTCCTTTTGACGATTCAAATGCGTCCCGATGCCGTTCACCGTCTCGGTCTCGGATTTGTTTCGCGAAAGGAAGCGAGGTGCCTTGTAAGGCCTGCCCAGCACGAAATGCGAGAATTTGAGCCATGTAAATCCCCGGCGAATTACAGCCATAGAAAGTGGCCTTCCCAAAGCCAATACTCTGGTATCGGAAAACCTCATGTGTGGAAGGTCGCAATGTGCGGGTCCCACAAAGGACACCGCAATAGCTGTGGGACATGTGGTTGTTGTTGTTTGAGGGTGCACTTTTCAGGTTGGTTTGAAGGGATTCAAGACCCACAGCCAAGGCGCGACGTCCAAGCCAGTGGTGACGACGGCGACGGAAGAGGACGCAGTGACTTCAAGCACGTCCAGAAAGTCTTCCACCCTGGAACAAAACAATAGGAACCATTTAGACAATCTTGATAGGGACCCTTTGTTGGCCATCATGTAGGAAGGGATTTATGCGCACCAACCTCGCTTGAGGCGGTTCCCTATTATCAAACACCAAAACCAAACCAACCCTCTTGCTTGGTGTCAAACCCAAAAATCACCCACGCTATCCAATGATGTCTTTTGGTGGTGAAGTGTTATTTGAGCGAGTCAACGGGGTTTGGGCCCCAAACATGGACGTGTTCCTTTTGCGTTCCCACAACCTAAAACCCCACCCACATGCACAACCGCAGAAGAAAAAAAACACTAGAACCGACTACAATCCGGGTGTGTCTTTTTTCAAAGGACCCTTGTCGAGCTTGGTTTGGAGGGAAAACCAAAGGGAAACCCTTCTCACTTTTGCGAGTAGCAGCCAAGTTGCCCCACCGAGGTAGACTTCTGCCTGCCCTCAGGGCCGACGACCACAGGCAATGCGTCCTTCTTCTGGCAGGTGTTCGTCGCGGGGTCAAAGCCTCAGATGCCCCCTTCGAAAAAAGTGGCATTAAAACCAAGGTGAAACCACCCACCAAAACAGACACACAGACACACGGACAGACACGAACACACACACAGACACAGAGATACACAGACACAGGCAGACACAGACACACACACACACACACAAGGACAGACACGAACACACACACACACGCACACAAACACACAGGCACACACTGACACGCAGACATACACAGACAAGCAGACACACACACACACACACACGGACGCACGAACACAGACACAAACACAGACACCAACACCCACACACACTCACACACACACGCCCGCTTAGCCACCCACCCACACACGCACGCCCCCACGCACGCACACACACACACACACACACACACCCACGCACGCACGCACGCACGCACGCACGCACGCACGCACGCCCGCCCGCCCGCGCCGCCCGCTGCACGCACGCACGCGCGCCCGCCACTTTTGCACGCCTGCGCGCACACGCACACGCACACGCACACGCACACGCACACGCACACGCACACGCACACGCACACGCACACGCACACGCACACGCACACGCACACGCGCACACGCGCCCGCACACGCGCGCGGACACGGGCACACACACGCGCACACACACGCGCACATGCGCAATACACACACACCCATACGCAGACCCACATGCGCACACACACACACACACGACCACACACACACACGCCTGCACACGCGCACGGACACGCGCGCACAAGCACATAAGCACGCTCAGCACACACAAATACACAAAACACACGAAAAGACACACACACACAAACACAAAAACAAACACACACGCACACACACACACTTGTGTGTGGCGCCCAGACCGGAGCTGAGTGTCGGCTCGGGGATGGTAAGTTATGTGTAGGCCTTACTATAGTTTTTTGGCGCAGTGAATCCCTTCTAAAGAGCGGTCGCAACCGCGCTCGTTTTTTTTTCAGATTGATCTCCGACGGCTCACAGCCTGGCCTGCAAGTGGCTGCAGTAATGATCAAAGTGAAGCGCTGAAACCCGAAGCGCATGGGCTAACTGGAGGCTCTTTTTCTGAACATGGTTTGTCATAACCCGTTTGGGTAATCAATCTGCAATCTCATTTTTGGGGAGACCCCGATGGGGAAATCAAACATCTCCAGGGGGCAGTGGTTGCTGTCGCACTCGCAGATCCGCCCTTTGAAGCTCCAGGAGCAACCCATGCCCGCCCGCCCGTGGCAATCCAGGCGGCCTGGGTTCGAACGTGCGCGCGATGATTGTTACGGCGACTAGATCAAAATATCACTGGGTGTACCCTTTTTGGCTTAAAGGGCAACCAGCAGGAAACCACCGGTTTTGGGGGGTTTGTTACAAACAAACTAGAACCATGGGTGGCCCGAAAGTTCATGGTAAGTGACCACAAGGAAAAGCAAATCAAGCCGACATGCGGGGATGTGAGTGGAGTGAGTGGTTGCTCAAGAGTTGGTGTTGTGTGCGTGCGTGCGTGCGTGCGTGTGTGCGTGTGCGCGCGCGTGTGTGCGTGCCTGCGCACGTGAGTGCGTGAGTGCGCGCGCGTGTGTGGGTGTCTGTGTGTGTCTGTGTGTGGGTGTGGGTGTGTGTGTGTGTGTGTGGGTGTGTGCGTGTGTGTGTGTGTGCTGTTTGCATGCAACACTCAGCTGCCGCATGTCTCAACTCTTGCCACAGCAAGTCAAAGCAAATAAACCGACATGTGTGTGTGTGTCACACTTGCGCACGTGAGAGAGAGTGTGTGTGTGCTATAGCGCGGATATCTGCAAAGTTTGCTCCTTTTGTGACTGATAAGCTTCGGTGTTGCGAGCTCTGTGTGCTTGCGCGCGTGCGTGCGCGTGTGCTAGCGCGGATATCTGCAAACTTTGCGCTTCTCTGACTGATAAGCTTCGGTGTTGCGAGCTCTCTGCAAGGGTTGCTCTGCGCAAGTGCTCGGCCCAAGACTTCCGCGCTACTTGCTCTGCGTGCGCAAGTGCTCTGTGCAAGCGCTATGCACAAGTGTGCCGCGCAAGCTCAGGCCAAGTTTCCATGAGCAAGTTCTCCGAGCAAGTTCTTGAGCCGGAGCTGCCGCGGACCAGCGGGGAATCGAACCCGCGACCGCGGGATTGCGAAAGCAGGCGCGCAAACCACGAGACAACTTCCAAAGGCCATTTCGTGAACAAGAAAATCGCACGGCGCCATGGCGAGAGCGCTTCGACACGCACGATCTCCGCAGAGGGTTCGCCCAGACAAGACGAATTCGAGAGAGCGCTTTGAAACGCACGATCCCCGCAGAGGGTCGCGCGCGCAAATCAGAAATCGTAGAAAGCCGACCCACGCAGAGGGTCGCGCGCTCATGTTAACAATCGTAAAAAAGCCACACAGTTTTTGGGCATCGACCACGCCAATCCACGCAGAGAGGCGCGCATGTTAACAAATCGTAAAAAGTCCTCAGTTTTTGGACATCGACCACGCCAATCCCCGCAGAGAGTCGCGCGCGAACCGCAGGAATCGTAAAAAATCCTCAGTGACCACGCCAATCTCCGCAGAGGGCCGCGCGCGAACCGCAGGATCGTAAAAAGCCCTCAGCATTTGGGCATCGTCCACGCCATCCCGGCAGAGGGTGTCATTTTCGCAGGGTGGGTTCAGTCCCACCGCGCCGCCTTAAGAGCCTACCATTTTCCTTTCGTGCCCACATGTCTCGTGCAAGTGTTGCTGTGTGATATTTCGTGCAAGTTGTTCTCGTGCAAGTTGGCTCGTGTAAGTTGGCTAGTGCAAGTTGCCTCGTGCAAGTTGGCTCGTGCAAGTTGGCTCGTGCAAGTTGGCTCGTGCAAGTTGGCTCGTGTAAGTTGGCTCGTGCAAGTTGGCTCGTGCAAGTTGGCTCGTGCAAGTTGGCTCGTGCAAGCTGGCTGTGCAAGTTTGCTCGTGCAAGTTGGCTCGTGTAAGTTGGCTCGTGTAAGTTGGCTGTGCAAGTCTGGCTGTGTGATAAGGCTGGCGAGTTTACCGTGACAAGGCTGGCGATTTTACCGGAAGAACCCTTCGCAATGCTTTCGGGAAAAAAAGTAGATGGGGATACAAGCCTAATGATCCTAGCAGGGTCACTCGTTTTCAAACTGAGGCGGCGAAGTGCAGCGGATATGTGATGCGACAAGCAAAACCACCAGAAACTGGAATGGACCACTCAAATCCAGACCTAAAACCGAAATGTACCCTGCTAGTTTTTGTCCGTTGCTCACATCTCAAGCCCTTTCGTATTATAATGCTCTACCCAGAAGCATGTAAAGAAGTACCAAGGCGGCCGCACCCATTTTTGGCTGGGATTGTCCCTTACTAACCTTCATCTACCCGCGTTTTGATTGTGGCTCAAATGATCGCTGAACCGATCAGCCGATCCAAGCTGCTGTCTTTACAGGCGCCATTCGTTGTAGAGCAGCAGAAGAGGCTCCTGCAAATGGGACATACTGTAGATGGACGAAATCCTGCATCACCTAGGAAGCACTGAACTGATTCGATCCGCCCTGTAAATACCAACAAACCATGGTTTCCGATGGTGCAGGATTTCGTCCATCCACAGTAGGTGTCCTTTTGGGGAAATTTGGGAAAATTGATGGCCTTGATAGATGGGTGTGGCTCAAAATTGAAGAGCCAGGGTTACGCACGTTTTAGTCTTTGGTTCCATTTACCAATGTACCATTTTGGTACATGTTTTTGAGCCCTGAAACAACCAGGTCAACCAAAGCCATCTATTTTCTACCAACTGAAACAAGGACACCTGGTTATGGAAAGTCACCCGACATCTGTGATACCAATGTGGGTGATTCCCAAGCATCACTTGGAAGAAGATTGGGACTGACAGAAAGTGGCGCAGTTCAACTAGTTTGTGTTCACCAAGAGCGCATGCGCAAGGCGATCCATATATCCAATCCAACATTGGTAAACACCAACATGGCCTTTGCAACCAAACTGCTGATGTTGGACCCGAAAATCCTAAAGAATTGAAAGGAAGGTAATCAAACAGCTCACAAGTGACTCATAAGCTTTTGGCTGGCCCCAAGTTTGCTCTCGCGCTGTCATCACACATCCCGCGCGACCTTTGGCATATGGGCCCTCTCTTGAGCTTATGCAAGGAGGCCAAACCTTTGGCGCTTGCAGGGCAAGGTTGAGCTGCCCTTTGTAGATTCCAAGGAAACTGCGGTCTGTTGCCCATCTTGACCTCTTGAACACTTACAATTTACAGGGTTCTCCGAACAAACAATCAATGTTTGTAGCTCCGTGTTAAGGGAAACGGAGGGACCACTGCAAGAGGCCTTTTGCAAAACAAATGGGTTTTTGGCAAGTGACCAGTGGAACTCTGTTCAATCTCTCAGCGAAATGCTCGACCAATCTCCGGGAGCCCCAAAAAAACGAACTCCATCTCCCCCTGCAAGCAAATTTGCGGGACCCAAAACACTCCTTCGCCCTCCCCCAAACTCCCCGGTTCGGTCTTCAGCTGGGTCTGGCATTCTTGACCATTGATGGTACCGAAGCCCCCACGCGCTTGATGATCCGCTAGAAGCACCGAGAGGTTGCCCTGCCCAGGGCAGAAACCCTGAGTTGGGTATGGGTCAAAAAAAAAAAAACTCCAGGGGACCGAGATTTTAGTCTTTGGTTCCATTTTTCAGGGTGCCATTTTGAGTACGCATTTTTGACCCACAGCCAGTTTGGATGTACCCTGACAGACCGTTCGACCCCCTGGGGTCTCCTTCTCCGGGGGTCTCCTTCGTGCCCGACTTTTGATTCCCAAACAACTTTGGGTGGTTCTGCTGCATCGTCCATTCGCAAGATACGTCCCCGGAAGAAGTAAACTATGTCCAGTAGTGATACTTTAAAGCGTAATCTTCAGCAAATACATTCTTAAGCAAACAGAAAGCACGGAGTTGCAATTGATTATGCCGTCACTTCCGCACACATCACATCAAATGTGCACTGGGCAATGGAGTAAGATGACTAAGCGCCTTGGAAGAAGGATCCAATGCTGAATGGCTGGAAGGTACTGTAAGATACCAAGCTCCGAAAGCCCTTACACATGATCAGTACACGTCAAATGACCTGCGCGGAACCCAAACTGGGTGGGTGTTGCGGCCCTGGCGCGCTTTACAGGGAAGCCAAAAACAAACACACACGATTTTTGGGAGCCCACATCCCTACTTTGACACATACCCATCCAGAAGCCTGGGCATTGTGTTGGGCAGACTCCCGCAGCGCCAAAGCCGGAGCCAACAAGAGCACGAAGAGCATGAACCTCAGCGGTGAAACTTCAAGGCCAGAGACGGTCGAAGTCGGTTGGACCCCCAAAATACTCGCAACCTTGGCTCGTCATCAAAGGGACTCCACAAAGGTTGGTGTTCCCGTTGCCCCTTGAAACCCATGGGTTTTGAGGTTAGACCAAAACGGGATCGGCTTTCCTTTTGGTTTCCTGACAAACCCCAAATTGAGGTCAAAACAAGGCACCAGGTCCGTAGAGAGCAACACCTGCGGTCCCCTACATCCCTACCTTTGAGCCACCGGTGATGATCGACATGCTTGCTCAATGGTGTGATCAACAGTCAGCTGGCACCTGAATAGAAAGCTGAGAAATGTAATTCGTGTATTGGACTAGCATCCGAACGTTCGCGTGTTGTAGACATGCCCCACAAAAAAAAGCCCACATGCAGCACTCCCGTCCAGGATGCACCACAGGGAAAGCGAGAGGCTTCAAAGAAGCAAATATGAATTTTGTCCCGCCGAAAGAAGGGATTGGAGAATGCGCTCACCTTGAAACATTGCTGCTTTTCTCTTTCCCCCGCTTCCGCTTTGAGACACTGGCCTAGGCCCATGGAAGCCATAGAAAAGGTCCCTTTGCTGAAGAAACATCGCGACTCCAAAGCGACTCGAGACGTTGCGCGACCCATGGTTCAATTCCAAAAGCAATCCAAACCAAGGGCTACCTGGTCACCATCCATGCAACCAAGCAAAACCTCATGCCCAAAACAGCAGAGGCGCTTGAACTTCACAAAGAACGATTTCGCTGAAATCTAGCGCAGCGGCCGAAGCCTTGAGCCAAAATTAAGGCTCAATGGAAGAACTTGAAGAACTTGGTGGAGGAAACTTGAACTTGACCTCTTTTCACCCCCCCCCCCCTGCCGAGAAAAATAATAATCCTCAAATTTGTTTCTTGGAGCCCCTGATTGTGGTACCTGTTCCAACGACATCGGCACTTGGGAAGGAAAGAGTTGCAGGTGTTGGTCATGTTTGCCTTTGAAAATCAAATCCATTTTTGGCATCTTGCCGTCATGCCGTTTTGGATGAACACGAGACACATTGCAGAGACCCCGCGATTCACGACATGCAGAATCATCTTCATAAAGCATGGCAGCAAGCAGTCACAAAGTCTGATACAATGTGTACTAGTAGCATGCAGCGTGCCGAAGCACTTGGCAGCTGAGTGATCTAGGCGCACTCCTCGAAGAAGGAAATGCAAAATGCTCAAGTAAGTCTGAAGGACGGTTGGCAGTCATGCTCAGAGCTTGTCAAAGTCGTCTTGACTTTGAGAATGGCGCCTTTTTTTTCTTCCCCCGCAACAGCCCAAGGCCCCGAATCTACGAAACCGGGTACAGACAATTCTACGGAAAACCCCTTGCTTTTTGTGGTTTTTGGCATGCTTGTTTGTAGCTGGTTCCAGAAACAGAAGACGGGAAGATTGCAGTACTGCATGTCTCACACGACACGAATCTTGAGACGACCATTTAAACGCATATCATGTTTCTCAAAACAGGCGCCCCATAACACAGGTTGCTTCCTTTTCATTTCTGTTTCAAGCCACCAACAAATCCATCTTCCAGCACCCCTCCCCCCCAACAGCTGCTTTTTGGACGGTACTTTGGGTTTTGGACATGGGAACAGGCAGCTGTTGGGTGCTGGTGAAGCAACCAGGAGCAACGATAAAAGTCGGGTAAACAAGGGTCGGCTTGCGTCGACACCAGCAGTTGACTCGCCACGCTGTGATTTTTGCCTCTATAAACTGCGCGGACAAATCACACAGCTCCAGACTCCATGCGGGCGAAAGTGCCGGCACTTCAACGTTTAAACAGAAACGACCCAAATCCAAGAACTCGAACCATCTAAACATCAACTTTCGGGTCTCCCGGAGAAACTCCAGGCTTTCGGGTCTCTCGCGTCCGGACTCCGGAACCGGCGATCGGCAGGTCTCCCATGCATTGGCGCTCATCCCCAAGACTCGGAACCACATGAGCGCTGGGCGGGAGCGAAGTGAAACTGCCGGCGCAGGAAATAGCGGACAACACCGCAGCGGTTTCCTCTTCATCAAACGTCGCGAGCGGCAACGGGAGATGGTGACACGGAAAGCAAAGCTGAAAAGCATTTCACGGATAAACTCAGATGTGGCAAAAACAAAAAAAACAAAACACAACTGATTTCTTGAAGGGCATGACCGCTCTTTCCACCTCGGTTCGGCACTTCGTGCTGCGACTTCTAGCACGGGGAGGGTCATTGTGACATATCAAAACATCCCGGGATGCCTTCCAGAACACCCGCGGGATCTCGGCCAATGAGCCGTTCTTTGGCCCAGTTCCCCGCATGCCCCCGCGATTACAGAGCCGCAAACGGACATGGCTGTTGTGCGAAGGTAAATATGGGTTCTTCTCAAAATAGGGGTCTCCTGAAAAATGACTTTTGCACCCGGCTCCAGTGGGCACCGACGAGAAACTCTGACTGAAATTGGGGCAGGGCACTGGGCGTCTAACTGACAGGCGTCGATGATGGCCACAGCTAGTTGTGACGCAGCAAGGAACGCCAAGCCAGCAACATGGCGCGCACTCTCAGCCGTGGCAAGCAGTGCGTCTATGCCGCCGGAACAACGCGTGACTCGAAGCTCCACTGGAGCTCCCACTGTGGCTGCCAAACCCCGAAATAATTCCAACAATGTGCGAACACACACACAGCAAAGTGAATCCTTCCTGGCAATCCAACTGGGGCAGTGATCATTCCTGGAAAACAAAGTCGGGGAAGAATCCAACCCCTACTCTCATGAGGACATTTGCCACGGCTGAGTTGCTGGGAAGTCTGAGCCCGAACTACTGCCAACTGGGCTCAGGTGCCGCGAGACCGTTTCTTGCCTGGCCAACGAGCGAAGGGGCACTTCCCACTTGGGAAAGCGCCAACATGGGCGATGTTTTTGAAAGCAGCCTTCTTTCTATGTTCAAAGGCAACCCGAAAGAAACACCCCGATTTTTTTTGGGGGGGCGACATCACTATTTTGAGACATACCCACATGTAAGTGCATTCTCAAGCACTCACAGCAAAGCCCAGCTCACATCGGTTCAAGGGCAATGGTTCCCATATGGATCCGACTCCTCTGATCTTGCTTTCTGGGCACCCCTATCCCCTATTGAGACTAAGGAAAACAAAAAGGACAACTCAGCCCTTAAAAAAGACACTCCCATATATGAGCATTTATCTACGAATTGCATTCATGTCAACTTGTTGAGTCCTGTAGTGTGGTCCCGATTTTGCAGGATATCGAGCAGGATATCGCTTGTGTTGATGAGTTCCCCAGCGTTGTCGATGCAAATTGCAAGGGAGACTAGGAATAGTTATCGCGCGTGTCGTGCACGCAAACATTACTTGTATATGCAAATCGTATAATATAATGTCGTGTCATATATCATATCATATCATAGACAGCTACAATTCTGAGCGTCTGCAACTGACAAGCTACAACTAATCAAAGTCCCTTGCTTCCATAGAAGGCCATCTTCCACTCCTTCACGAGAAAAAGACTAAGTTGCTGAGTAAAACGCCTTCAGTGGTTGCTGAAGGAAACTTCGCTCCAGACGGGTCTAAAACTGGTCAACCGCTATGGTAGTTGCCCGTTTGGTTTACCTTAAACCCCAAAGGGTTTGTTGGTGCATTTTGTCCAGCGACTGGGAGTTAGCTATGGATTCACCCGAAGATTACCAGTATGTATTGCAAGGAGATACCAAATGCCCCTTTCCAAGCCCCAAACCACTATGCTCAACAAGTACGGTACCCTTTGGGACCCTTTGGGTTGTTTCCCTTCAACCCAAGCACGGGTACCCTCGAAAAATGGCAACCCACAGATCGAACATTGCCCTTTACAAGTGTAGCAAGTACGCATTCACAGCTCCAGATACTGTGAAGACGTGTTCTCATAAGAATCTGCATGCGGTCTAGGGTCTTCTTGTTTTTGCGGGAAATTCGGGGGAATTGCTTTCCATATCCCCCCCCCAAATGAACTATGGACTGCTGCTACTTTGATGAAACCTATGACTCATAGCTGGCCGAAAGACAAGCACGTGTGGGTTACATGTGAAGGTTGAATGACTCAGAAGCATCAAGTCTATGCAGGAAGCGCCACTGTCAAATCCCAGATTTGTTTGCTGCCTGTGTGTCTGCAAAGCTTAGCGCTGTGCGTGGGGTTCCTTAACCAACGGCGAGCTACAAAACCTTTGCCAACAGAGAGTATATCTTTTGAACCATCCCGTCGCGGAGCAGCGGGACGAGTGTAAACATAAACCGCTCGTCCACTCCAGGCTCGTCATGGTGAAAGAGATGGAGCCGTTCTCTTCCATGCATCCGGGCTGTTGGGGGCCATTAAGACCAACCTCTTTAGTGTTGTTCCATCAACTTTGGAAAAGGGCCATGCTGGAGCTTCTCGTGTGGGACCGCCGTCCTGGTGGCGCTCCTTTGGACCAACCCCAAAAAGGGTACCCTCAACAAGCACTTCTCACCTCCTGGGTGGATGGGCCACAACAAGTTTGAACTTTCTATTTGCCACCAAAATGGTCTTCCCAAACTTCTAAAATCCATGAACTCAAAAAGTGAGACTTACACACATAAACCAAAGAGCACTGCCCTGTTGTGGAGAATTGTCCTTCCCGCCTCCGCTCCATGGCCATTCACCAACGTCCCATCTCGGCCGTTCCGTGGGGTCCGATAAAGCATCACCCACGAGTTGAGTCAAACAGCATGAACCCTCTAGTCTACAAAGATTGGTCTTGAAAGAAATATTAACCAATCATGTTTTAGAACAACAAGCCTGTGAGGAACTGTTGTGACTCCAAAATGCCTTGTCCAATTGTCCCATGCACATCCTGCAGCAATCTTACTCACGTGTTTGGAACAAAACACTTGACCCGCACCTTTAAATCGACTGGAAGGCGAACCTTTTGCTTCCAATCCAACCCCAAACCGGTTTCTTTACCTCGATTTGTCTTTGGTTCATGGGTCCAAAAAACAGGCTGGGACATGAGCCATGTGCAGAACGAAGACGAACACACGAAATACAAATTGGTCACTACAGTAATTGAGACAGGCTGGCTTGGCTGCAAGTGCCGCCAGTGCAGCTCACGAGCTTATCTTGGGTGGGCGAGCTCAGGAACATGTGGAGCACGTTGATTTCTTCCGAAAGCAGGCTCCTGTGTCACGTCCTTGTCACAACGAATCGGGCACCGTTCTTTTGCTTTCAATGTATTCGCATTTGCTTGAACGGAAAACCGTTGCGAACCCGGTGTTGAAGGATGCTGAGAGGAGTTTCTACAATCTAGTGTGAAGCTGCCTGTGCTCCGTTGTGCAGCATATACAGGTGTTCTGTTTCTATGGCTTGCCTTCCAAGTATCTGCCGGACAAAAACTATACACTGGATGATTTGAGCCCAACATGAATGCCTTTCTGACCTAGCGCCATCCATGTCTGGCTCACAACCAGAAAAGCCTAAATCTGGCATCAGCAAAGCAAAAAAAAACGTTGGCCTTGACACCTGACAGCGTCGATCTGGCAATTCGCAAAGCGCCGAGGTTTGTAGTTCACAAGCCGCCAGTCAGCCTACACCTGGGCTGTCCTCAGATCCCCAAACCTGCCACAAAACCCCCCAAAAATATCCGGGAAAAAAAAACAAAAACGTAAAGGTTAATTTCCGGGAACCGAGGAACCAAACTGCCGGCGGCGGCTCAGTTCTGGGCTTGTTCCCTTCTCCTCCTCCTTCTCGCCTTTGGACCTGGCACCACCGGGATGATCCGGGGCGTTCCTCTGAAGT